TTACACAAGGAGACCCTGCGTCACGATGCTCACGTGTCTCTGATATCTATGTATTTAAATCATAACAATTGATTGTGACACAGTGCATTGTCAGTATCACAGTGTACACCCAGTATAATGTCACTCTTTTGTTGCTCGCACAATTGAACAAAACCCTGCAGTATTACTGTTTTGTTGGAGAAGAAGGAAATACTCTTCTCACTTTCTTTATCCTGACTATGTACTGTTCTTGAAACGCCCTGTAGTGATCTGATTTTTGCACAATCAATTGCACCATCTGATCATTGAACACGTGTAGTCTTACGAGCATATTGTGTTAAGTCGTGGTATGATAATGTACACACACACACACACACACACACACACACACACACACACACACACACACACACACACACACACACACACACACACACACACACACACACACACACACACACACACACACACACACACACACACACACACACACACACACACACACACACACACACACACACACACACACACACACACACACACACACACACATACCCACACACACACATACTCAAACAGAACGTTTCTTCTTTGTTATAGCTCTATTGTAGAACTCTTTTGTTCGTACCTCCTTACCTCATGTATATACCGGTCGTACTGTTGTGTAATGATGTACTATTTCTTGAATGCTCCCCGGTTCTTGGAGAATCTGACCACTCAATTTGGTATAAACATATAGCTGCCAATTATTTGATGAAATTGATAAGGCTTTTATAATTTATTCGTCTGCTCACGAATAATGTTTTATGTGGGATTAGCAGTTTGTTGTTTTTGGACATCTATTTTAAGCTTATTATCTTCTAATTGTATACTTTTCAAGATTAAATTTCAAAGCGAAAACGATTTCCAAGCCAAAACATTTCATTCAATTATCTATCTACTTTCAAGTTTTTTTTTTCTGAGCTGAAAGTGATACAAACTTCACCAACTATTCCATATATAGACACTCTCTGATTTTCTAAGGTCGAACTCGTCATTGTACAATGAAATGTACTCAGCAAAAGTTCAATAAGCTTTTTAATAGAGATCCAACCAGTAAGTACCCGTTCTGGAAAAAATCAATGGGCCAAATGGACAGGGTTTTGAATCTTGATGGAAGGTTGCTCTGAAATTTTTACACAGATTTTGGGGCATCGTAACACATCATGACTTGAGTAGTTTCAAGTCGTAAAGCCAAATCTGAGGCGTGTTATTTTTAATAGTCACTTGGGTGCTTTCTTTGGGACACCCTGTATATGAACAATGTACACATAGGATTATATGATCAATGCACTGAGTACTCATAGGATAGCTGATATTATATTTATACGATGGACTCTGGAAAACAACTTAATACTTTAATATACATATTGATATCCTTTCACAGTTAGCTTTTATAGGTGTTTCATTTTACGAGTACGATCCGACACAATGATTATTGTATGGCCTTTTTAATTCGAATTTTTGAGATTTCTAATCGACAATAAGAAAATATTTCACACAGAGCTGTGCATTTTATATTTTAATAGTTATACTTTTTACAGTCATCCTTATCGTTCTTAAAGTGTCTTTCAATTTTATTTATTTGTCACGTCAACGACGCAGGATTAAACGTCGACGGCGCATGTCTCAAATCTAAACCAAGCATATTACTTTAAATTTCGTTTATAAGCCACTCACGAGGTCCCACAATTTACAAGTTTAAGTAATAATGGCGAGAAAAGATATTAAATCAGATGGTAGCATCCAAACCGCCACGATTCGCCAAAATCTCCTCCCTGCAGACCAAAAATCTTGCTAATCTTATAATCCAATCAGTATTCAGTATTCAGTATAATATTACGAGAGATAATAGCTACAAACCCAACGTGACCAGCTTTAATGTACCAGATATTGTCATGATCCTTTTATCCTGGTATAATCACGTGACGTCGGACCTCACCCCGTGATAGTGATATGAGCATATCTCAGCCTATTTAACTGCGATAGGTGCTTGTAGGAGTAAGCTGAACCAACCCGAATCTTTATTATTTAATCTCGAATTTATGATAGCAGCTGACAAAACTTCCGAGTTCTGAGGGGCAAGAATTACTTGCTCAAAAAATAGATGTTTGCGTACCTTTATTGTTATGAATGGTACCAGTTTTTTGACTTTTTGGTAAAGGGATATCTTTGGAAAAAAGGCTGAGTCATAAAGCGAATTATAGGTTTCAGTGGTCAGGAATGGAGTGGAGTTCAGCGTTTTTATACGGTACTAATAGCAATTAAAATATTTAGTTCTATCATTATATGCATATTTCGAGCACTATAAACAGGAATTAAACATGAATTAAACATGAAATATACACATCTTTGTGTTGAATGCATTAATAATATCTTAATAATTCACCCTATTCTACCATCATCCATACAGTTGACCTTTAACACAAAAGAGAGTAGAAGGTACCAAGCTAAGGAATGACGGAGCTTTCATTTATTAAGCTAACTTTGCTGTTGAGTAATAATGACACACTTGCCTTGATGAATATTTGATATTGTCTCTACTTCTGCCGTAGCTATTACTTTTTTTTTTTCTTTGTCTGTCCTTCCAAAAGGACTAAGTTCGGTAGTTCCAGATTAGCCGTTTCGATATTACACTGATTTGCATAATGGTGGACGGTGGATCTACAACCAATACTAGAGTGAGTAGTAAGTCACTCAGTAAGGCAGTACCAAATAGTATCACGTGACTAAATCCATTGGATTTCATCCAATATCATACCTGCTCCATTAAATCCTATTCAATAAAAGTCCGGTCACTGAAGAACTGCAGCATCCATTTCGCCAGAAATTGTATTTTCTATAGATATTCTAGAAAGTGGAGTCGTGTTCCTACTATACTAGTACTATGGTGTAGTGGAAGTTGGAACGATTTAGAATTGGTTGTTGAGATCTCTGATAATGAAAATAGACAGCCCCACCCGGTATTTCTACTCGAAACACTTGGAACATTGAACATACCTTGCTAAACGTATGTTAGACTGTACAATCGATTAAAATTTAAAGAGGTCCAGTTATGATTGGATTGATTTTTATATGTATTTTGATCGGCTGACCTAACCAAAAATGTCTAAAAACCACCAATTCTAAATTGGTACACTAGAGTACTAATAGTTTTTATACGCCCGACCGTTTCTACTGGTGAATCTTTACATCATGGACCTCTCCGCTACAGGCCGAATGACGACTACAGCATTGTTCGGAGAGGTCCGAAGAAAGACCCAACTTAGGTCACAACTCACGTAATCCAAGCACATAATATATTTGCAGTATAAATAAAGCAGGTTATTCATTAATATCCGTTCCAGGGCGGCCTTGCTTCAATTTTATGGAACCTTTATAAGCTCTTCACAACCCAGCTTTCCTATCCCTGACTTAAAGAATGCAGGTGATGAACTTCGTGTTAACAATCGGTTAGAACAATAATACCCTCCAATTATAATCTTATTAACAAATTACAATGGATACTCCACAATGACTTACTCCAGCAACAGGATGTTGCCACATGTTGTTGCCACCCCGTGTCACCACACCTATCCACCCTGCATTTCTCTGCAGATATTTCACGTCATGACGTCATTTTATTGCCGTTTAATCGTGATGTCACCACTAAATACCACGGTCCTAACCCCACACGATATCGTCAACTTGTGTATTAAGCAATCTGGCAGGTAGTTTATTGAGTGTCTTCAAGCTTTGTTCTTACCCCACCTAGGTCTGAACAGCGTCATTGTTAAATTTAACAAGTTCTATCTCCATTGTTCTGAAGAAAAAAGCTGTTTTAAAAAGGAACAAAATCATCCTAGTACTCGGTCTCTCTCATTAAACAGTTAAAATATACATTATTTCACGTGTTCATTAGATTTGGTCCAGCTGGCGAAAATTTTTAGCAGAAAGCCGCTCAGGTGGATTTGAAATTCAGAGACACGATGTTGTCGGCATATATTATCCGTTGTCACATGTAACAATGCGTGTTGTCACATGTAACAATGCGTTCTGACCATGTTTTTATATTGCTTAGATCTGTTCTTGGTTGTACGTTCTATGTGGTCATCACGTTACTTAATTACTTGCTAGGCTTGTGATCTTTCCATTAATCGATATCATAATAATCTCTTCGTTAACTACACAACTATTTTGTTCCTTTCGTCATCATCATTGTATGGTATTTTCCCCCAGTGATCAATGACCTGACCGAGAAGAAGGGTAGTGGCATTTGCAACGTTTTGTAAATAACGACATAACCCAACACTGATTCTACTTTTTGTTTTACCCAAATTGGTTCGCTTCGTAATATATAATAATACGTTTAGTAATTTTACCGTCTTAGTCAGCACTACAATAACTCTTGATTAACCAATTAATTAGCAGTAATTAGCTGATTAGAAAGTTTGCAGCTCAAGCTCCAAAAACAGCACCGTTCCTTCCGGATGCTGTCATTGGCAACTTCAAATTTTAGGAATTTTGTCAGCTTTGGTTCAAATAGGGTGCCATGACATGATTTAACAAACTTGATGTCGTCATAACACCTTAATTATAAAATTATAATATCAGCACCGCATCTCATTACAAATAGTCATTCCCGTGCTTCAACTAATATTCCTCTTGGATAGACAGATCCCTCGATAGTGTAATATCTTTTTGTTTCGTGGTCTAATTACAACATTTAAATACCGTTTGACACTGCTGTCCCATTGCTCCCACAGTGCATGATTGTCACCGCAATATTTAATACTTCAAAGCCTCTGAATACGCTTGTGCAATAATTCAAATTGTGGAGGAGACGAGAGAATTGTGGTGCTTGTGGTAATTGTTGCTTTCTTTCTTCTTTTAATGTGATCCCAACTCCACGTGGATCTGAGAGCTCATTTCAATGTGCTGACCCACCCTAATTTCCTCTGTTTTATACAACACTCCTCCTCCTCCTCCTCTCTCTCACTACAATTGTGAACTAACCCCGTTACTTCCTGCCTCCAGTATGCGATACAATGGTCTGAGTGTCGTGTTAACTCTTTTGTTATCTGTGATAAAAGGAGGAGAAGGTCGTGTGGTAGAGCCACAGTCACCAGACCGTACGGGGTTCCAGGTGTTGAGGCTGCAGGCAAGTGACAGTGACCTGGTGGACACAGCACTGCGACTAGCTGACGAATATGAGGTTAGTCGGTTCTCTTGGTAGAGTCCAAAAGTTTAAAATGTGTTAGTCAGCAGTTATGAAGGCAGTCCTATAAAGCCATAAGTATATTCTCCTTAATCCTTACGTTCTTCAGCGTATCTTAAATCAATTTGTTTGCTAAGTATAACAGTGATTTCCGCAGTTAAACGAATGGGCCGAATTAAACCGTCCTGATGGCTATGTGGACGTGATGGTGAATCTAGAGAAGAAGGAGAGGTTCACCAGAGCAATAGAAGATGCGGGCATCGTGTCCAGCGTCATGATAGAGGATGTGGAGGAGAGAATTAAACGTCATGTGACCATGAAGAAGAGGAGTGCAAATGGTTTGTTACTCTTTTTAGCCTCCTTTGGTGTACACCGTACATTTATTTATTCAGATAGAAAACGTTTCAACTCAAAACATTTTCAACCCAAGCATCATATAAGTTTAGAATTGGGTCAAAATTGGACTGTAGTAGAATAAGACAGGTTTTTAACGTTTTTGGGCTGCTACAGCCTACGGCGCTAGAATTCTCCATGAAAGCGTCAATTTATCAGATTTTCCACAGATAATTACGACTATGATAGCTTTAACGTTTTCGAAGACATAGAGAAAGAACTGAAGAAAATCAACAACACATATAGTGACATTGCCAGACTCGATATAATCGGTAAGTTTTACTATTATTTAGTGTTTTTAAATCGTTTCGTATTAGTGTTTCGTAAAAGTTCTACGAACACCATATTCTGAGCATCAAAATTTTAAATTTGTAATGCATCTACATGCCAAGTAACTGGTTATATGTAGTTACAAATATCTACAGGTGAAACATTTGAGAAGCGCAACATGTACGTATTGCGAGTAAGTAAAGACATCGGACCAGCTCCAACCAAACCAATAATCCTTATTGACGCAGGCATCCATGCTAGAGAGTGGGTCTCCATCTCCACCATCATGTACATCATCAACCAGGTCAGCTTTTAATATGGTATCTAGATTTGTATTATTCAACCAGGTTCGCTTTTAACTTTTTAATATGGTATCTAGATTTTAATGATTCAACCTCTCAAGTATGTCAATGGTGACAGTTTAAATGATTATTTCGTTATTAAGACTGATAGTAATACTTCTTATTCCGAACATACCTTTCTGTCTGATCCAAATGAGATACTTTTGTTTGATAAATCATCTCACAGGTCGTCAGGAACCCCAGTGATGACCTTTACATCAAGGCATTCCTTGACTCTTATGAGTTCGTTTTCATGCCCGTTCTCAATCCAGATGGTAAGTCTTTCTACACCGGTGACTGGTTGATATTCCGATTAGTATTATGTTTATAAAATAGTAAAATGTAAGAAAGGTTAGGTTTAGCTTTAAAACTAAAGTACAGTACACTTCACTCTAATCAACTACCCATATTTTAACGTCCACACTCCTAAGGGTACGCGTACACACAGGTAGATAGACTGTGGAGGAAGAACAGAGTCTATAACGATAAATCCTCGTGTAGAGGGGTAGATCTGAACAGAAACTGGGACTACAAGTGGGGAGGTAAGTGTAGAGGGGTAGATCTTAACAGGAACTGGGACTACAAGTGGGGAGGTAAGTGTTGGGGTAGATGTGAACAGGAACTGGGACTACAAGTGGGGAGGTAAGTGTTGGGGGTAGATGTGAACAGTGTTGGGGGTAGATGTGAACAGGAACTGGGACTACAAGTGGGGAGGTAAGTGTAGAGGGGTAGATCTTAACAGGAACTGGGACTACAAGTGGGGAGGTAAGTGTAGAGGGGTAGATCTTAACAGAAACTGGGACTACAAGTGGGGAGGTAAGTGTAGAGGGGTAGATCTTAACAGGAACTGGGACTACAAGTGGGGAGGTAAGTGTTGGGGGTAGATGTGAACAGGAACTGGGACTACAAGTGGGGAGGTAAGTGTTGGGGGTAGATCTTAACAGGAACTTGGACTACAAGTGGGGAGGTAAGTGTAGAGGGGTAGATCTTAACAGGAACTGGGACTACAAGTGGGGAGGTAAGTGTTGGGGGTAGATGTGAACAGGAACTGGGACTACAAGTGGGGAGGTAAGTGTTGGGGGTAGATCTTAACAGGAACTGGGACTACAAGTGGGGAGGTAAGTGTAGAGGGGTAGATCTTAACAGGAACTGGGACTACAAGTGGGGAGGTAAGTGTTGGGGGTAGATGTGAACAGGAACTGGGACTACAAGTGGGGAGGTAAGTGTAGAGGGGTAGATCTTAACAGGAACTGGGACTACAAGTGGGGAGGTAAGTGTTGGGGGTAGATGTGAACAGGAACTGGGACTACAAGTGGGGAGGTAAGTGTTGGGGGTAGATGTGAACAGGAACTGGGACTACAAGTGGGGAGGTAAGTGTTGGGGGTAGATGTGAACAGGAACTGGGACTACAAGTGGGGAGGTAAGTGTTGGGGGTAGATGTGAACAGGAACTGGGACTACAAGTGGGGAGGTAAGTGTTGGGGGTAGATGTGAACAGGAACTGGGACTACAAGTGGGGAGGTAAGTGTTGGGGGTAGATGTGAACAGGAACTGGGACTACAAGTGGGGAGGTAAGTGTTGGGGGTAGATGTGAACAGGAACTGGGACTACAAGTGGGGAGGTAAGTGTTGGGGGTAGATGTGAACAGGAACTGGGACTACAAGTGGGGAGGTAAGTGTTGGGGGTAGATGTGAACAGGAACTGGGACTACAAGTGGGGAGGTAAGTGTTGGGGGTAGATGTGAACAGGAACTGGGACTACAAGTGGGGAGGTAAGTGTTGGGGGTAGATGTGAACAGGAACTGGGACTACAAGTGGGGAGGTAAGTGTTGGGGGTAGATGTGAACAGGAACTGGGACTACAAGTGGGGAGGTAAGTGTTGGGGGTAGATGTGAACAGGAACTGGGACTACAAGTGGGGAGGTAAGTGTTGTGACTTTTGGGGTAGATCTTAACAGAAACTGGGACTACAAGTGGGGAGGTAAGTGTTGGGGGTAGATCTTAACAGGAACTGGGACTACAAGTGGGGAGGTAAGTGTTGGGGGTAGATGTGAACAGGAACTGGGACTACAAGTGGGGAGGTAAGTGTAGAGGGGTAGATCTTAACAGGAACTGGGACTACAAATGGGGAGGTAAGTGTTGGGGGTAGATGTGAAAAGGAACTGGGACTACAAGTGGGGAGGTAAGTGTTGGGGGTAGATCTTAACAGGAACTGGGACTACAAGTGGGGAGGTAAGTGTTGGGGGTAGATCTTAACAGGAACTGGGACTACAAGTGGGGAGGTAAGTGTTGGGGTCGGGAGGTTCAAAGATTGGGCCTTGGGGTCATATGACTCTGTCCGAAAAATAATGTCTTATACATGTGTTATACTATACCTCTTTCATAAATGATATTCGATTTGAATTGAAAGAATGCGATACGATTCATTGATGATATTTTAGTCACTTCTTCGTTGAGGTACACTCTAATAACTTAATAACATTACTTTATTTATAGGTCTAGGAACTAGTGGACGTCCCTGTCAAATAGATTACCGAGGTCCCGCAGCGTTTAGCGAGTTAGAAACCAAAGCCGTACAGAAGTGGGTAGAAGCATATAAATCAAAAATCCTACTCTACATTAATTTCCACGCTTACGGTCAGTTGTGGATGACTCCATATGGTTACAGCACGGATACGCCCAGCAATGAGGTGGAGATGGTAAGGATATTGAAGTTTAAACTTCTCTTCGATAAATTTTTAGTAATGCGTCGCGTATACGCGGATTAAACGGATTAAACGGATTAAACGATTCAAAAGTCAAATTACATGGTTATGTCTGACCTATGATTATGCCATTAGATATCGGTATTGCCATCGTTTTATTCATTTCAAACAATGTCCAACATAGATGGCATAATTTCACACCACTACGGCAATACTACGATCTGATCAAATATTGACCATTTGGCTAAACGCGGGTCTAACTAACAACAGTTACTGTGTAATAAACAAATCAATGGCTTGTGAGAAATTTCCCTACATCACTTTTAATTAGACGGTGTGCACAAAGGTACATTGTTTCAATGGGTAATTCTTTCAAAGGAGCAAATGACCAGAAAGTTACTTTCTCAGCCAGGCAGTTTTTTCATTGCCCAATGCCCACTGAAACACCTTTTCTTATGTTAGATTATGAATCCAGTAGAAATTGTATTTTATAAACTTTATAAACTTTATAGTTTATTTTACATACAAAAACCAAAATTCAAAACTACTCAAACTTAAATTTGAAGCTGAAGAAAAAAATCTGTCGTATATAAGCTGTAGTTCAACCTTATAATAACGTAACTCTATTTATTTCAGCTTAAATACAGCAAGATTGCTGTCAAAGCTATTAAGAAGTCACGGGGTACTGAATATAGATATGGTCCTGTCTACACGACAATCTGTAAGTATTGCAAAGCCGAAACTTCCTCATCCTTTATAATCTCACTACCATAAAGGTTATGAATATTTAAAAACATACGCCCAAATTTTCAAATGAAAAAAAATTAAGAACCAGAGATTCGATAAAGTAGCACGTGTTTCAGACGTGTTTAACATTTTATTCTTCAATCAGATCCAGCAAGCAGTATCAGTGTAGACTGGGTCCGAGGAGCAGAAGATGTCCCCCTCGCTTACACTGTCGAACTTCCAGATAAAGGGTTTGTTCTTAGCGACACTTCATGTTAAAATCAGGTGTCTTATTTATAAAACAGTGTTGAACTTTATGAACAAGCTCGAAGGAAGCGATTTGCTTCTGCTGGCTTGCGTTTTAATATTCATTTAATTTGGTATCCGTAAACTGATCTAAACTTCATCCTTAGAGATCACGGTTTTCTCACGCCACCATCAGAGATACCACTGATCGGCAAGGAAACATGGGAAGGGATCAGGGCGCTCCTGATAACACTTGCTGATGACAAGGGTTTACTGAAGACAGCGGAGATTATCATTGTTTAGATGATGATCAGATCCTTGTTTTGCTGTCGATGTGATACTGGCCTCGGAAGCAAATACATCAGTTCTTACAGCGGACTTCCTTAGTGCTTTAGAACTTAGCTTAGCTTGTAAGGTCTTCCTTTAAAATATTATAGCAGTGGTAGTTTTAGCTCGGTTCCATACAGAATCGCTGATTCTTTTGAATGTGTACTTTATCCTATAGATGTTCCTGATAATTTCACTTATAATTGTAGGTTATACTCAGATTTAGATTTAGAAGGGTATTAATCATGACTAAACTCTCTATATCAAAGCTTCTTTAGGATGTAAATAGCTGTAAATGTAGAACTGGAAATTACCAATTTAGTTTTAACTAATTACCTAAATAATTTGACATAAGGACTGAACCCTGATTGATTCAGTGTTCGTGAAAAGTTTTAAAACTCATTTTATTCGTTTAAAAATTATCGTGACAAGAAGCTTTTAGAATTAAATGTTTGGCCATATTCGGCTTCTCGGAAATCAGCCACTAAGTGGTTACTTAATTTATTCTGTTTTATTTGTGATTTCTGTTGATTTGATTAAACAATTCTTTTATCTTCTTTTGGCGACCCTGTGTTTTTTTGTAGTTTGTAATGAATGCCCCTAAAGCATAACAAAATTGCTTTATTTCAAAATTCAAATCTGCCAGCAATTTCTTAATTTTAATAAAACTGTTGATCTTAAAGATCTTACAATAACTATCGTGCATAAAGACAATTAAAATTAAAAGGGCGTACAAATTCATTAACAAGGAAATCATATCGATTATACGAAAAAAGTTTATAGTCCGTGGTTTTGGTGTGGTCCGTTCAACTTCAACTACGTTCTGAAAATCATCTGGAAATACAAATAAAATTCGAAATAAATGTCCACACAAAACGATCATCCGCCAAAAACTTAATTAATTATATTTATTGACCTGATAGCGGCAAAGTCGCGTTTTCTTCTTGTTGGTAGTTTCGATAAAAGTACCAATTCCTCATTTGCCTGGGAATCTAAGGCTAAAGTTTAAAAAAGAAGATTTAAGATATAGTGGGGTAGGCTAGCGCCGTCCAGTTAGTTCTTCATATTATATATTCATCCCGCTGTGAGCAGAGTGCTAAGTGGTGTTAATGTTAATGATTTAAAGGGTTCCCAGTGGTTAAGTTAGAAGTAATCCTCTTTTTGAAAAATATGCAACTTCGTTTGTGGTTATACTTATAGCTTTATTGAATTATTTGCAGTTCATGGTATTTCAAATGAAGGTTTTAAAAATGTAATTCGTCCTCACTGAATCCGGTGATCCGTATTCAGAAATTTTCAAAAAGCAGTAATACGATCGAGTGCTTTCGTTCATATCAAATACTTTAATAGTTTAATAGCGGTTAAAATTCGGAGTCATCATTTATACTTTTATCTTTTTATATAATTGTGCATGAAAAAAAAATATGAAATTTAGCTAATTTTAAAATAAATGATCTTTATCATATACATGCACCAAAATATTTCACATGGAGGTCTAGAAGTGCTAAAAATACATACATGAGCTACATGACACATGAAGACATGAAGAGGTCTCCTCCTATCCATAGTTTGGTTTCCAATCCAGTAAGAAATTGGGAGACCGTGTCTCTGGCATTCTGACAACATGTCCGTACCACCTTAGTCTAGCCGAACCGATAAAAGTTTCAATAGACTTAATTCCAGCACGCATGATAACTTTTTCATTGGACACATGGAAGAACCACTTTATCTTCAAGATTCTTCTCAGGGAGGTCAGATGAAAGACCTCAAACCGTTTCATCTGCTTCTTTATTGAGTTCCAGACTTCAGCTCCATATAACAGAATAGTAATAACAGCAGCCTTGTAGCTTTGTAGATACGGATCTTGGCGGGCGTTCTTATAGTTCGGCTGTTCCATATCTTCCAAAGCTGATGGAACGCACCATTAGCACGCTGGATCCTGATGTCAAGATCTCGGTCAATGGTACCATCCCCACTGATGTTGGCTATAAGATAAACAAAGTTACTGACCTGTTCTACAGGTTCTCCCTCCACTGTTTATAGCTTTATACTGTCTCTTTCGGTGTAAGGCCGCTGGGACGCACACTTGCTGATCGCCATGCATTGTGTCTTTTTAGCGTTGATCTTTAACACTTTAACACAGCATAAGAGGTGTAATAAGCGATAAGATCAGTGGACTTTTGCAGCCCTTCTTCAGTATTGTTCATCACTGCCAGATCATGATCAGCGTAGTCACTATCCATGATAACTTTTTAATCTGCACTCTTCAGTTCCTTTTGCAGTACAGCACCATGACTGATTGCCTTGTGAACCTCGGCCAAAAAGATTCCAAAGTTCAGACAAAAATTAAATACAGGAGGGCCCTGGATATCACCTTGTCCAGTGCCTGAATTAACAGAGAACCAATCAGAAATTTCACCATTAACCCTGACAGCACTCATGGTTCCGTTGAAAAATACCTGAAAGATTCTAACAAATTTCTCAGGAAGTCCTTATGTGTCTCATGCTTGACCAAATAAACTTTCTTCTGATGGAATCAAACGCTGCCTTAAAATCAATGAAATTAACATAAAGAGATAAAGTGTAATGTTAAACTCAATACAGTTATGAATAATGGTGCGGATGAATAAATCTAAGCTAATAACAAATTAAATACCAAATATGATGGGCTAACATATAATAACATATAACCTGTAATACTATTTTGTATATATTTAATTTCGTTTTCCAAAAAAAAATATGATGGGCTACTTTGGCTCGTGTAGCGATCGAATGAATTTCTTTCAGCATTTAAACGCACGTGCGCCGCGCAGTGTATCCATGACAACTCGCGTGCCTTCAGGCCTAGGCCCAAAATTTTACACATCGTTATTTGATCTTTGTATTCTACTTACTATTTCGATAGATATTGCCAAAATCTATAAAAGGGATTGACCTAAGAAGAATTTCAAAATGGTGGCAAAAGCTGCCACAAAGTCCATAACAGTGTTTAAAAAGGTTCAGCCGAGTAATGACATCCAACGTATTGGATTGTTTAGCGAGGTGGGGTACATAACTATCGGAGATCCCTATAAGTCAATCAGGGACCGACCTTTCAATGATAAGGCAGGAAAAGGCAAACAGATGATGTCCTGCTGCACCAAATCCAAGACTGGTCTGTGTGATGGGTATTTCCATTCTAATTTTGGGAGAATTTTTGAAAGAGAGGGATACTCGGATCAAAGTAGACTTGCACGGATTGAGCGAATCAATGAGGCTAAGAAGAATACTGACAGCAAGCCGTTTTTACCCAGCAACGCTACAAAGAAACCGTCGGGACTTGGTAGCCATTATGGAACTTTTAATGGCAAGGTTCCTTATTTTAAGGGGACTGCTCGGCCTAAAGAACGCTACAAGTCTCCAGGTAAAGTTTCAGAATATGGATGTTCAGTCCAGTTTTGCTTGCTATTCATTGTGCAGCAAGGCTTCAAAATAACAGTTTTATGTTTGTCTGTTTAGCTAGCAGTTTTCTTAGTTTTCGTGGATGCCCATTAAACTATTAAAGACTCATATTTGCTATTTTAATTTAGCCATACTGTGTCTCATTATTCAAATCCTGAACAGCCTTCACAATACGGTTTTCTTCAGGTAAGAATTTCCTAACGAACCCTACCAAGAAGGGATCGGGTTACGGATACAACTCTCTCACCATCGGAAACGATCTCCAGTACAGTGGGGAGTCCATCAGCCTCGGTGATGAGATTAGGAACCATGAACGCAAGGTAAGTTCCCTTAAAAGCTTAAATTAGACCAAATAATATTTGTCCAAATAATAGGTTCATAAGTTATCAGTTCATATTACTAGATTACTGATCTTCAGCGAGAAATCAAATTTTCCAGAGGCATGAATAAACGTTTTATGATTATCAAATGAGCTCTTATCATCCAAGTCATCACATATTAACAGGAACACAATAAGAAGATGATCTCGAAACCGTTCAAGCTGAAACTCCACAACAACTCCTTATTCGACCCCAACATATTCAAGTCCAACCAACCTCTTCCCCCCGCCCAAAGGAGATCCCCCACTCCTCCACCTAAACGAGCCAACCCACCCTTCAAGCAGAGTTCCCCCGCCAAAGATATCGGGAACTGCAAAGCAGGCACCTTCACCCCCTACCCACAACACCCAGTTGACGGGTACGATCTGAGAGGACAGAAACCACCCGGTCCTAAATATGGTATGTTCAGTCCGAGCGCGGGAAACAAGTCCCGACCAACTGGTTCCATCATCAATATGAAGGTCACCAAGACGATGAACGTCACCAACTTTAGGTCTATTAAGTGTTGAATAATCACAGAGTTGGACTCTAGATTATACTAATTGATTTATTTTGCTAATTAAACTTAACCCAGTTCTATTCGATGAAATTGTTTGTGTCTTTGTAATCACTATTAGTTTTGATCTCTTCAAATACACATTCAAACAACCGCAAATGACTTTGTGATCTTATTTTAAACTAAACTGGAAACTTTAATTTCATAGCCACGTTCTGGGCGAGGCACCTGGTGCAATTTTAAACTTTGAAATCGATTAAACTAAGTAAAAGCCCCTCGCAGTGGTGCCTAAAATACGCAGTAATTCTTACAGTACAGTGTCAGACTGAGGCCCCCAATCCAAACAACAGATCTGTCCCACGTGACTAACCACAGTTATTTGACCGTCAAATTTATTTCTGAAAGCTCATATGAGATTAATGGTTACAGGCCGATTGAAAAACGAAAGGTTCTCAACCGGTGGAACAGTGGATAAGGCCTTCAAATTGCAGCTATGCTCACGTGATGAAAATTACATCATATTAAAAATTGATGAAAACAGAGAGTGGTACTGTTGTGTTCTGAACGTTTCTAATTCTAGAGCCTTCAAGGAATATCAGGATCACTAAATCTTCTGAATTTGATAGGGGCTGTACAGTTTGCACTGTTTAACTTTAATTCTCGTTTAAGTCACGTGGTCTGCTGTAACTCTCTTTTCCTCTTCTCATTGGTTGCCTAGCAACAAACTCTCTCCCCGGATTGGATGGCTCAAAGTAGTCCCGGGATTGATTGGATGCGCGTGGATGGTGCGATAAACAGAAAACATAGTTCAGTCTTCTAAACAGTTTACAGCAGAATCTGCAGGCCAACCCTCTGCTGGAGAAATTTGTTGATACAATTTCACATGTTGTGTTTGTACTTTGTAGTGGTTTCGTTATTATTTTGCGGAGATTTGAGACAGTTATAGCTTTATAGTTCCACTTGAGACAGCAGGACTGGATCTGATGTTGGACCAGGTTCTAGTTTCTGACTCAGACGAGGAGATTGATTCGATTGATCAGTTGTCCCCAGACTCTGCCTCTATCACCTCTGAGAGCCCTTCTTCTGCTACCCTACTTGATTCCATATTACTTGAAACTACTGCGATCAGTGCAGTGAGTGTGAGTACAGAGCTCCAAGATGAGGACAAGGACTCTCCTGAACCAGTGTCCTCTGTGTCTTCCAGTTCGTCCCGTGGTTCGAAAGACTTCATCGTAATCTCTCATCATCCCAAACCACCTTCAGTCGTCATACAATGTGAGTTTCCAGCGAAAAAAAAAATAGAACATTGGACAATGCGTAACGGCATGACCTATCCTTCTTTTGTTACGTCAAGAAATGAGGTAACTTTCGCAACAAATTATAAATTTATCACACCTGAGTGAATGCTATTTCACTTTCAGACGGGACCCCCCGAGAAACGTGCAGCTGTATGGATCCCACAACACCAGAGTCTACCACCACCACTTCCACCTCTTCTTCGTACATGGTTAGTTATGTTAAACTTTGTGCCTTCTTACACATGTAAATGGTTCCATTCCATGATGTTTATTCGTACTGAGAGATTGGTCTGCCGTGATATAATAGACAGTCGGTACAGACGTTTCATTAGTGCACTGTATTTGCTAATTAGTTGACCACTTCGCTCTTTTTTCTCATAATTATAGAATAATTTTTGGAAGGTGGAGTTTTGTGTAGTAGTTTATGTTTAGATTACTACTTTTTTCATGAGCTCAAAATATTTTTTTAGTGTATTTATAATTACATTATCTGATCTCTAAACCGCTTGGAAGTTTTACATTTTACTAAAACCGACCCGATATTTGCCCAACCCTCCTAGTCTATAGTGGTCTCCGTTAACTTCGTTCGTCTAAATTTCTCTGGTGCACTTTTATTACATTTTAAAGGTTCACTGGTAGATTTTTAGTATACTACTAGTAAAAACACAAGACAAATGTCTGTGACGTCACAAATTGAAAGTGACGCACGATCAATGAGGGATGCGTGACCTCACAGATTCCAGAGCCACTTTTGGGATCAAGGCTAACGACCCTCTTATAAAGTTGTAGAGAATAATTAGACTATGATCCCAGAGCTCCGCTCGTGTTACCTAACATGATCTCTCATTGGTTCAACAGAGGGACAGCGCTCTCTGATTGGTTTTTAGGACCAGCTGGAGAGGGCATGGTGATCCAGATGGGGGCTCTCTGATTGGCTGTTGAGAGTCACGGGACACAATGGATGCCCTGTGATTGGTGGGTGTGACCAGAGCATTAATCTGGACTCAGCCACACTGCTGTAGTTGCACTATATAACGATTACTGCTGCCTGATGGCTTGTTACTTGCCAGTAGCTTTAAAGTGTTCTAGTTTACATGTAGATGGCTCTCAGCCACACCTTTTTGTTTGTCTAAATCTTTCTATGGTACCTCCGCAGTCATTTTAAACTTACAGTTACAGCTGCTGTACATGGGCTACATCACCGGGGGGGCAGGGGGGGCAGCTGCCCCCCCTGGGATTTGGGGGACAAGTTTACAAAAACATGTATGTATAGTAAAGTGTAGTACTAATGTGTAGTTAAAAGAGATTGTGAAGTATGTACTGTCAATAAATTCGGACTACTTACATTAATTTGCTTTTTCTTTTAGTTGCTGCTAACGTAAATTCGTGTCCCTCAAGTACTGGAAAATGCGTCAAAATTGTCTAATTTCCTTAAAAATTTTCCGGGGGGCTTCGCCCCCCTATCCCCCCGACAAGGGGCTCCGCCCCTTGACCCCACTGGGAGCTGCGCCCCCAGACTCCTGCTATTGGGGGGGCTTCGCCCCCCTACCCCCCCACCAGGGGCTCCGCCTCTGGACCCAGCAGGGGGCTTCGCCCCCTTGCCCCCCCTGGGTTGAAGACGTGATGTAGCCCCTGCTGTAGGCTTTCCTTCAAATTCTGTCCCAAGGACAAACACTTTTTATATCAAATGCTTCATTGATTTTCCATTTCATACAGTCTCATTGGGTCACCACTCTGGTGGCGTAACCACTCCGGTGGGGTCACCACTTTGGTGGTCATGTAATCACTCTGGTGGTGTAACCACTCTGGTGGGGTCACCACTTTGGTGGTCATCATGCAACCACTCTGGTGGTGTGCCTTATTTGGTGGTGTAACTACTTTGTTAGGGTAACTGTATGTGATTGTGTAGATATTCATATAGGTCCTGTGTGTACCGGCGTTACATGTGTTATACTTATACCTATTCAATATAATCGTGTTATGCGTATCAAAGTAGTTTTTTCAAATATCGTTTGTTTTGTTGTTATTTTGTTATTTTGCTATTATATTATATTATGTTGATACTTGTTTTGATTTATTATTATTTGTTTTTTTGTTGTATCTTTGCATTAGTAATATAATTTTGGTGTTCAGTATAAATGTTCTAAAATGTTTAGTTAATTTTGTTTTCGTAACTATATTTATTCAGGACGTTACAGAAGGTATTAATTTAATGTAGTTGGAGCAGTCCTAACTCTCCTCACGTCCGAAAATGGCGTTTCTCTTGTATCAAATATAAACAAAAGTTAAAATAAAGTTGTATGATGTTGACAGTTTATTTGTGGTTCTTTATTTAGGACGGTGTTCGGTTCCGCCCTCGTGCCCACTGTCCATTTGAAAGCTTTAAAGTTAGCATCATGAGATCCGTCCTCGTGTCCACCTTTCAGGAAAGTACCGCCCTTGTGTCTTCCGTCCTTGCGTCCTCCGCCCTTGTGTCCTCCGCCCTTGTGTCCTCCGCCCTTGTGTCTTCCGCCCTTGTGTCCGGTTCCCAGGGTGGTGTGCCTTATTTGGTGGTGTAACCACTCTGGTGGTGGTGTAACCACTCTGGTGGTGGTGTAACCACTCTGGTGGTGGTGTAACCACTCTGGTGGTGGTGTAACCACTCTGGTGGTGGTGTAACCACTCTGGTGGTGGTGTAACCACTCTGGTGGTGGTGTAACCACTCTGGTGGTGGTGTAACCACTCTGGTGGTGGTGTAACCACTCTGGTGGTGGTGTAACCACTCTGGTGGTGGTGTAACCACTCTGGTGGTGGTGTAACCACTCTGGTGGTGGTGTAACCACTCTGGTGGTGGTGTAACCACTCTGGTGGTGGTGTAACCACTCTGGTGGTGGTGTAACCACTCTGGTGGTGGTGTAACCACTCTGGTGGTGGTGTAACCACTCTGGTGGTGGTGTAACCACTCTGGTGGTGGTGTAACCACTCTGGTGGTGGTGTAACCACTCTGGTGGTGGTGTAACCACTCTGGTGGTGGTGTAACCACTCTGGTGGTGGTGTAACCACTCTGGTGGTGGTGTAACCACTCTGGTGGTGGTGTAACCACTCTGGTGGTGGTGTAACCACTCTGGTGGCGGTGTAACCGCTCTGGCGGTGTAACCGCTCTGGCGGTGTAACCGCTCTGGCGGTGTAACCACTCTGGCGGTGTAACCACTCTGGCGGTGTAACCACTCTGGCGGTGTAACCACTCTGGCGGTGTAACCACTCTGGCGGTGTAACCACTCTGGCGGTGTAACCACTCTGGCGGTGTAACCACTCTGGCGGTGTAACCACTCTGGCGGTGTAACCACTCTGGCGGTGTAACCACTCTGGCGGTGTAACCACTCTGGCGGTGTAACCACTCTGGCGGTGTAACCACTCTGGCGGTGTAACCAGTCTGGCGGTGTAACCACTCTGGCGGTGTAACCACTCTGGCGGTGTAACCACTCTGGCGGTGTAACCACTCTGGCGGTGTAACCACTCTGGCGGTGTAACCACTCTGGCGGTGTAACCACTCTGGCGGTGTAACCACTCTGGCGGTGTAACCACTCTGGCGGTGTAACCACTCTGGCGGTGTAACCACTCTGGCGGTGTAACCACTCTGGCGGTGTAACCACTCTGGCGGTGTAACCACTCTGGCGGTGTAACCACTCTGGCGGTGTAACCACTCTGGCGGTGTAACCATTCTGGTGGTGTAACCACTTTGGTGGTTTAACAACTCTGGTGGTGTATATTATAATTTGGTGGCTTTCAGCTTAGTAATTACTAATTTAGTCGCGTTTTCTACCGTCAAGAGCTTAAACCGGT